ACATAAAATAGTGTTACAAAAAGTGTAACACGTGTATTACACAAGGGTAATACATAGTCTTAAAACAAAAAAGTAAAAAAAATATTTTGGTAAAAGAACGAAAGGTTGGAAAATGCTTTGGGAAATTGTTTATTTTTTAGGTTATTTATGTAACTTTCTCAATAAATCTCGCACTAAACTAAACATGAAAACAAATTATCTTGACAATTAAATTATTTTTCACTATAACGAGAAAAGTGTTCATTTGATAGTGTAAACATTAGAATTTTGCCCAAAAAATAGAGTTGCTCAGAGACACACTTTTGTATAAAAATTAAAAAGGTAATATTATTAATATTTTGATTGCGGTCGACCGTGTCAAAATATTCAATTATAAGTAGAATATTTGGTAAAGAGAATTGAAAAGCAATTTACATAATTTAATAAACGAAATCTTGTTAATAATAATGACGGTCTTGTTCACGGTTTAGTACCATGTACTCAAAATATCATAAAGAAGAGTGGAAAAGGGAAAACGAGAGCACCACATACATGCAGTTCCTAAGCCTTCGGGGCTACTGTAAGAGGCTGCTCTCGAGTTGTAAAATCCGCCTTCGAGGCTACTGTGAGAGCCTTCTCTCGAGTTGTAAAGTCCCTGTCCGTAACAAGTTGCTGCCGATAGCAATATCATAGGAAAAAAGAAGAAATAAAAACCCATTTTTCAGACAATTCCAATTCTTGAAGGGAAAAGGACACAACTTATGGAACTAATTAAAGGATTATGAATAAGTAGAATGGACGAGGGATATGCAAAAGCTGGAATGTAGACGCCAAATTTATAGCAGAACAAGAGCACGCACTCAGAATTGATGATTCTAATATCTACCGTTTTTCTCCCACTAATGAGTAATGGTGAAAAGGAAAGGTAAAACTGGAGAAGGGTACAAACTACCGACACCTATCAATATTGTTACAATTATACTAGTTGTATATTCAAAGTGTACATTAAGGTTGACACTCTATAATGTGTTAAAATCTAAGTCATTGGTTGTTTAAAGTGTTGTTAAAATCATTGTATAAAAAGTTGCTACCTCAACAATGTGAAACTTGATGTACATATAGCAAGATTGATATTGTCAAGGGTAAAACTTACATCTTCAAACATACAGCATATAACAGCTTGAATTATTCATCTAAACAATATTAACATTTTTTGGTGGTATATCAAAATTCAATATGTTATTACCTGTTAGAGCCTAAGAAGCTCAAATGAGTAAATCCAATTTCAAATTAATAATAAAAAATGAGATACGATTTTATGGGAACATGCAACACATAAGAATCTAAGTTACACCTCCTTACAAAATCATCCTTATAATTTGTTCACATAAACAACAAGAAATTACAAAAGAAGTGGTGCCATAGGGGAGGGGGATCATGACCGTCCCAAAACATTTTAATTTTTTAAAAATACATAATACTTATATATCTTCTTTTATTATTTTTAAGTGCATGTTTGGGTTTCATTATAAGTTACTAAAAAAGTAATGTTATATGTACATACTCGGGATTATTTTCATGGGAGACAATATTAAATGATAAGGCCAATGAAACTTAATCAAAACGTTAGTGAACATGGCACTAGAATAAAATATTATCATACAAACAAACATCCTAAAAAAGTAAATACACATTTATCCTAGTATAAAGTGAATAATCATATGATAATTTTTCTACATATAAAATATGAGTAGAGTATGAACTTTATTTGTGATCACCATGCTTGAGCTGTCGGCATAATTAATCTTATTTATACTGAACAAAGTACCGTGAAAAAATATATATATTTCTCTGGTGAAGGGACATGATATTTTGGCCAATATTGGATGGACAAGTTAGCTCCGACATTTTACAGAAATATTCCTATGTAGTCGAAATAAAGTAGAAATAAAATCATAATTTTCTAAATGCTCATAATTACTAGACTAGGAAAGAAGAATTACATTTAGGGACTTTGACACTTGGGGCACACGTCACTGGTTAGGTGCATTTGGATACTTCTTAATATATATGTTATGATTCGATTGGATTGAATTGGATTGGATCAAAGTTGTCAGAGCGTCTTATGAGTAGAGGTGTCAAGACGAACGGGTCGGACAGACCCGTGAAAATCGGCCCGGATCAACCCGGGACCGTGGGCCAACCCGTGACCCGAGCGGGCGGTTCACGAGTCAAAGAGGCGTAACCCGCGGGTTTCGCGGGTTGCACCTTCACGAGCCGCGGTTAACCCGCTAGCCCGTAGAAAAAAAAATTTAATTTGAAAAAAAAAGGGAGAAAGAGTCAACCTAGTTGGGATGTACTTGAATTATAAATTATAATAAAAGTAGGTATCAACTTAATTGGAATGTACTTATACTATAAATATTTGATAATAGTTATTAGAAATACATTTAGTTGTTATTTGCTTAAATTAAATTTAACTTTGTAAAGTTATAAATAATTCATGTAACATTAAATTTGAATTCTATATAACCATTTCTTGATATAAATATGAATTTATTCTTTTGTTCAATTCTTAGTTTCCATTTAATAAA